AAAGAGTTTAATAGTTTATTTTATTTGCATATGACTCTAAATAATTTGTTTATATTGGTCTAGTGATTTATTACCTGAAGGGGAAAACATTGAGTCAGGTAATCTCTGCCATTTTCCCTTTTCCATCATTTTCTCTAGGCCACTTGGCTTTATAAATTAGCCAGTAACAAAGCCACAGTAATTTCTGGCCTCCTAGCCCTTTTTCTGCAAACATATGTATGGTTTCTAAAATTTCAGGAAAACGAACTCTTTCACTATTTGAATGATGTGGCACAAAGCCCTCTACTCAGAAAGAAAGAGGATAACATCCTTCCTGATCTCAGAAAAACGAAGAGCTCGGCATGTACGTATACTAAACTCCTCCCAGGTAATCATCATTGTCACAATCTTTTTTTAAGGTTTGTAGTTAAATGCTTTTCTAGGAAAAGTATACCAAGGACCTGCAGTCCTCTTTTTTCAAGAGATGTTAAGTAGAGGAAGGATTTCTGAATTTGTAGAGAGTACATATCTCAGACTAAAAGAAGTTTTATCAAATATTATTACAGTGTTTTTGTGCCTATTTCTCTGGCCAGGCTACCCGATCTTTAAGGGATTATGCCTTAATCATCTTTTTAGACCCTAGTGTCTAGCACAGTGCCTATAGCAAAGTTAGTGTTCAGTAAGTATTTGTCAAATAGGATCAAATCTTACAGTACTGGCAGTTCCCTATCCTACACTCCTCTTCAAACTCTTGTACAGTTTCTCAACCTCAGCACTACTGACATTTTAGACCAAATAATTATTTTCAGGGAGCTGTCCTGTGTACTTCAGGATGTTTAGCAGCATCCCTGGCCTCTTCCCCTAAGACATCGGTAAAACTACTACCAGTCGTGATAAAACTATCCCCAGACATTGTCAAATGTCCCCTAGTGGGAAAAATCACTGACCTTCCCCTCATTGAGAACCACTGTTCTAAATATGTTGAAACAGACATATTTAAAATCCATTCTTAATCCCACAACCAACTCTCTGGAACCCAATGGGATAGCTCCTCAGAGTATCAGCATCAGAGTTGTTTCCCCTGAGTCTTCCATGTTTGCCCTTCAGTCATAAGGAAGATACAAATTTCCCGCTACAATCACATATTTTCATTGTGAATGGATCATTTCTGAGGCCCAAAATAAACAAATACTGTCCCCATAATTCTTAGTGTCTTCTGCCTGGATCTCCACTCCCTTTGCCTAAGAGCAGATAGACTGGTGGAGACGGCCAGGTGGCCCTTAATATCTGGGATCATCAGAGATTGGCAAATTGTACTTTTATGGGTTCTGGTAAATTTGTGTTGCCTATATAAGTCTCATTGGCATAGCATGTATTACAAAATATTCTCTCCAAGAACTCTCCCATCCTCCTGCAGATGTGATTTTCACCATATTTTATAGAATTTGTCAAGCACTACTGAAACATCATCATCTTCATCATCCTGCTACTCATCATGAGAAATGTAGAAGGAGCAACTCTTTCTCCTTTTTGATTCTTTATGATAAAGTAGGACTCTCCGTACTTTTGAAAGTATTTGGAAGAGCAGCTTTTGCCAGCTTCTTCATACCCTCCCACACTCCTCTCTCAGTAGGGACTGGTGACTTATGTAAAGGTTGTATTTGGGACAGGGAATTTGAAATAAACAGCTAATCTTTTCATTTCTTATTTTTTACTCTGCCTGCCATAAGATGGTACACTGTGCTCTGTAGGCCCAAACTCTCTTTCTCTTTCAAGTGGATTCTCCAAAGTCTAGGAGAAAAAGTATAGAAAGCCTGGTGAGATCATTTATCTATTTATACCAATAATAAAGCTAAATATTTTAAGTCATGTGTTTGACTCCTGTAGTTATCTCTCAATCCATTCAAGGAACTCTAGAAGGGGAGATGGGCACATTATTAATTGAATGATTGACTGAGAGATATTCAGAGAGATGGGAATTAAAGGGGCATCTGGAGGAAAACAGCACATATTGATATTAACTGTTCTGGGGCAGCATAGGCAGGAGGTAGGCCTTCACCTGAATATATTCTGTCCATGTGGGCCTTTGCAATTGGTTGCACCAACTACAGTCCTGGGGTTAGGCCATCGCAATAGTTGCTAGGGTCTCTGTGGGTAATGTTCACCTGATCTACACTAGCACAGCTTGACCTCAGCACTAGTTATATAATCAAAAAGGCAGTCTTTTTGCCGAGACATTGGTATGTACACTGTTTACCACACAGAACTACAGACCCAGACTTCAACTGCACAGGTTGTCAATTTCTCTTTAGCAATAAAGCATTTATGTGGAGGACCTAGCTTTCAATTTTAAACACCAGATATAAGAACAAACATAGGTAGCAATAGCTCGGCTGTGCCAGATCCTTGTTATTTTGTTTGGAGCTGCATTGGAACTGCATTGAGCTCCTTGGAGAGAACTAAGGTGGGCTAAGCTCTGGGATCTTTGTGGCTTGTCCACAGACTCTGAAGACCACCTCCCATAACTATGGACTCTGTAGATTCTTTAATTATGGACACTGTGTCCATGGCTTTTGGTTTTCAGGGTACACACTATAGCTTAACCAGAGAGGAGTAGTAGCTTTTACTAATGAGTAGTGAAAGTGAATATTTCCTATTACTTTGGAAATATAGCTCCTACTACTTTTGGAAATATAGCTCCTACTTGGATGGAGGTAGAATAAAATCGAATGAGGCCATCATAATGGCAAAGGAAAGGGTGTACCTGGAAGTCCTATTCTAATAAATCAAATTGGTGGAGAAGAAATTCAAAGACTTTAGATTGGGAGAAATTTCAGTATGTTTTAGACAAAAGGATCACAGTTCAGGAAATGATTTTAGCTCTGTTATCAGCAGTGGGCTAACTGGAGAAGTATTAAGGAATTTAGAAAGAGATATCTACTTAAGAGAAAACATGAGGTCTTAAAGATCAAACTAGAGTTTTACAAAAGAATAATAGATCTAAGTGCTCTTGAAGATAGGGCTATAAAACGGGAAATAATTTAGTCATTGTTGAATCAGAATGAGTGATCAGAGGAGGTAGAGACATCAGAGCACAGAAAACAGAGCATTGTGACTTCCTCTACAAAGAATCCAGGAAATGTTTGAGGAGCATGCTTAAAATATAGATAGTCCTTCAGGAAATCAATTGAGGGCCTTTCTCTTGAAGATCGCAACCGCTATTTGAAGTGGTTATATAAAACATAGATTTAAGAATTAAAATATGAGAAGATCAGGGTAGGATATTTGAAGTATTATTAGGTGAGTTTCAAGGTGTCAGCTATTTAGGTGGGCCCTGAGTAAACATGCACAAGAAACTTAGAGACACAGAGTTTTAAGGAAAGATGAGACAAACAAAAGAGGATTCAGGCAGACAGCAGCAGATACAGTCCAAACATGGTTGTGGTATGATGGGTAAAGAGTTCTTAGTAAGGATTATCCAACTCAAGAACGTAAAAGTAGGTAAGATTTGTGTTGAACAAAGGATCTTCTTGGTAGCTCATAACTCCTTGATTTTGTTTCTCTAAGGGAGACCACATAACATAGAATATGGAAGGTAATATTAGGAAAACAAATGTCTGGGTCTCAAAGCATAGGGAAAATAGAAGCAAACAAATAAATCAAAAAACTTCAATATCCATAAAATCACTATTTTGATAGAGAAAGAAGGGACTACTTGAAAAAATTGGTCAAAATGTTAAAAAAACAAAACAAAAAAACAGTTGAGTTGTCTTACTGCAGAAAAGATTGTGACCGAAAAAATATTTTGTTGCTTTGAGTAGAACAACTTACTCAAGAATTAGAGAGTTTAAACAGAAGGAAGGCTAAATTCTGAGGAACAATAGCATCAGGGTAAGGTATGGTCTCACTAGGCCCGAAGGCATACGAGATTCAGAAGGCTCACCTGGGGAAGAAGGTGATTCTCCAGATGAAACGAGGGGGCAATAAGAAAAACTACTGGTAAGTGATGGGTTGCCTAGGCCTGGGCATGGGGTTTTAAAAAAGAAAAAAAGATTAAGGAGGTTTTAAATATGCAGGTAGAAAAGCAGAGCACCTAAATTAAGAACCAGGCACAGAGGATATCACCACTGCAAATCCCTAAACCTCTCAAAAAGATATATTTCACGTGCCACTCACTAAGGACAAGGGTAGTACACGCAAACAGATTTCTCTACCCATAATGGCTTTGCCATAATTATTAACTTTTTGACAGCAATAGGCTCTGTCTGATGTGAACAACTGCCCCAGACTGACTGGTATCCTGTTGTAGCTGAAGATTTTCTCTACCTACCCTCTTTCCCCTGGATGTCCCCTAAGTTTCTGCTTTGGTCTTGGTAACAGTAATATGGGTCTGCATTGTGCTGAGTGTTAGGGTCACAGACTATCATTTCGCTTGAGTGAAATTGACTTTGGAGCTAGAGGTTTCCTTGCATTTTTAAAATTTATGAACGTGAGATTGGTACTATGAAAATTGCATGTGTCCTAATAATTCTTTGGGCTCTTTGAAAAAAAGTGGACTAAAGGGACTTGAGGATATATTAATTCAACTTTGAAAATGTTTAAGATCCCCCTGGCTGGCTAAGGTTAAGCAAAATAAGAATTTGGGAAGGAAAGAAATTGAAACTTTAATTTCTTTGGAATTTTTCTTAAGAATTTTGCTTATGAATTTCAATATCCCGGACATTAATTTACAAGGAAGCTCAGGAGGATTTAATATTTGCTACTTAATTTCTCTCCAGATATTTGGCAAGGGAGAGGACAGGTCCACCATATTGGCTTCACTGCTTAACCTCTGGTGAGTTCTTTTGGTAGCCTAGCTGGGCCTAATTTGGCACAGATATTTGAATGAACAGAAATTTTTTTGGCTTGAGGTGTAGCATGGCTTCTAAGAACAGAACTAGGATCTGCTCATAGTCCCAGGAGGCTAATAGAAATACGTTGTACTGGGATTTTTGCCTCATGAAATGAGAAGCAAGACTCCTGCTCCTGGGTAACATGAACTTGACTGTTAAGCCCAAAGGGTTAAGGGACCAAAAACCTGTGGATGATAGAAGATAAACCTTTTCTCCTTCTAGCATTCTATTTCTCTCACAAAGCAGGACTTCACCATTTTGGCAATATTCGGAAAAGTAGCTTCTGTCTTCTTCTCTACCTCCTCACTCACTCCTCCCTAGGGGAAGAATAACTCTTCGGATTGTTGAAGGAAGAAAAGAACCAAGAAGTACGCCCAGCTTAGCCAGTTCCTAACAAACAGCCCATGGGGTGGGCGTTTTCTGTTCTGTTTCTCTGTCCATGAGGCAGAAGCATTTGGGTTACTCCTTTATTTGTGTACTGTCCATAAAACTCAGTGGGCTAGAGGCACTAATTCCGGGTAAGCGTGTGTGCTCTGCAGACTAACTTCTCCCTTGAGGAGCCATCCTAAGCTCTCACTTGGGAGAAAAGAATTAGGAAGCCCAAATGATACCATTTATCCAAGCTGAGTTCTGCAATTCAGGTAGTTATAATAATAACAGACAACTGATATTTTGACCTCTATCTGTCTTTTACTCCTCAAATCCTTCCAAGTTTGGAACTAATTAAGGATGTGAACAATTACCACCCTCGGATCCCAGCAAATATCAGTGCTTAATATTTGTTAAGTAATTATCATGTACCAGACACTATGTTAGGAGCTTTAGATATTGCTTCATTTAACCATTACAACAATTCAATGAGATGCATTGTTGTTACTTGTACCTGACAGATAAGGAAATTGAGGCTTAAACAGCAGCTAGTAACCATGGAGCTCAAACATGAAAGTGGATTAGACCTGTTGACTGCATCCTATCATATAATCATCTCTTGATATTTTAGGAAAAGATGAGAACAGAGCTCCAGGTTATCCTTGGTACAGAAAATAGAAAATTATGGGACTATCAATCCATTGTGAATACTGTCTAAAGCAGATCTTGTCTGAGATTTGTCAAACTAAGTTGTGCAAAGACTTGACTAAATTAGAAGTTAAATTATAATAAATTGCTTCAGATTTTTAATTTCTGTGGTTTTTACATTTATGATACTAATTTCACATCTATGAATTTTTTTACTTGAATTTTGAAGAGTCAATATGGCTAGATTCATCAGTTGGTTCCCTAATTCAGCATCAAACTTCTACTATAATGTGAGAGTATTTTTAACATGAAGTATCATGGGTAGTTAATAGAAATAGTTAATAGTTCCTAATACAATCTTATATAAAAATGATTAAATATAGCCATATTGGATTTTATTTTATCTTAAAGAATTGCCCTAAACATTTTGGGATTTTGTATTTTAGCTACTCATATGAGACCATTTTAATTATGAGTCTATAAGATCCCAAAACACAGTGGTTTTACAACCATAAATATCAATCATGAAATCAGTTTAATTTAGGATTGCCAATTTGATATAATCCTGACAACTCAATGCTAAAACTGATAAGCACTACAAATTTTTACTCACGTAATCTCTTAGAGAAATGAAAGAATAACAGACTGCAAGAGCATGTAACTATCATAATCACATGAGAAATATATTTCAGGCTTTAAATATATTCAAAGAAATGCTTCTAAAATTCTTATTATTGAAAGGATCTACTATAATTCATGAATTTTTAAATTATACTTTAGTTCTATATTAGTATATCATAAAAATGTTGCCTTGGAAAGAAAATGTTAAAGCATATAAAATGGAAGAATGTGAAGATATCACTCTGAGGTTCCCTTTTGGAGCGATTGTTGGTGTCATATTGTTACCTCTGAAATCGGTTTCTCATAGACATCTTCTCCTATGGATTTCTCCTGGGCTAGGATGGCGTCTCGGTGCAGGACCCGCAGCACTTTCTCTGGCTCCGCAGACCCGTAATGAGCCTCCAGAACCTCAGGCTTGGTTTTCTCTGTCTTCAGCATGTGGATCACATCTTCCCTGGCCTGTGGTAGAAAGCACAGCAAGGTCAGATGGTTGACAACATAAATCACATGCTGAGCTCACAAAATCTGCACAGAGCTTATTGAATACGTCCCCCACCTCTTCGGGGCTATTGGCAAATTCACTGGGACTTCTGTTCTTATTTTTTACCAAAAGCAGATTGGCAAGCAGATACTCTCTGCTTCAGGTTGCTAGGAAGCAGGCAGGCAGAAAAAGATTTGTGCTAATATTAACTACATAAAACTTGCTTTTTCTAAACAGTGATGATTCTGAGAGGGGGCAGAACTGCCCCTGGGATACTTACTCCCTTTCAGTGCATAATTTAATGTTTTAATGTCAAAGACAATTTAAAGTTTTCTAGTTTTCTATTTTTGCTCAGTGTAGTATTCAAATCTGATTTAAAAGAAAACCCTGCTCTCCCCATTCTAGTTATAACTCCATGTATAATTAACCAAAACAGCCTTTATTACTGATTTCCTGTTTCCCATCAAGTGACTCATTTTACACAGAAACACATGGTTGGGAACTCCTGTGGTGCTGGGCTAGGCTTTTCAATCTAATGTATTCACAATGAAGGTGAAATTTAACCCCTTTAACATACAGACTGACAACCAGATGAGTCAGGTTGCTGGGATAAGAGTTGTTCTTTTGGTTTCTTGGTAAAACTTTAGCATTTTGTTGAAGCTCCTGAGAAAATCACATAATTATAGCTTTTATATCATATACTACGGTTCCCATCACATATGCAAATACATCTGGATGTATTTTCTACTGATTAGTTGTAATTACTTTTTTAGTTATAATGAAGCTGACATCTGCTAAATGTACTCCCATCTGGTCATAAACTTGTTTTCCCAGTAATGGTGATGGGTATGAAGTATCTTGACTTCATTCCAATTAGTGCTAAAGAATAAACTGGTTGGCAACAGAGTTTCAGTCTGTGACAATGGAATAGAATTTCTCTCCATGTTATGCTAACTATGGGTTTGAAATTATAAACCTGACTTATTATCATGTTATTCTAAACATGGGAGCTAGCTAGCTAGCCCTGAGATAGGACCATTATAAAGTTTGTCTTTCTTGAGGTTTCTCACTTTTATTGCTTTTTCATAGTCTCCAAATTAATCTAATTCCAGATGGCTAAAGACTGATTTATTACAGAAACATCAATGGACTGGAATTTGCAGTTTTTCCCATGTTGTTTCTGCCACATATAATGTGCTCATTTCAAAACCAAAGTGGAAAATATTAATTCTGAAGAACCTAGTGGTTTGGAGTTTGTGAGAAAGTTAAAATCAGAAAATAGTTTACTGGAAAAGCAATAAGTCACCATGCAGGGTGAAAGAACATAAATACAGATGTAATGTCACACTAGCCGGTGCGGTATCTTTGTGCAAATTAGAAAAAAGTGCCAGGAGATATAGCTCTGAGTCAAAGTGCAGCTTGCCTTATGAGCTAAGAGTGGGCTGTATTTCAGCCTCTATTTATCCCCTCTGCAGAACACCCCTGTGCAAAGCATAACTCTGTATCCATATATGGTTGCACTATACTGAAGGAGCCTATGGTATATCAAATATCATTGGTTTTCAGCCAGGAAGTATGTTCATTTCACACAGGTGAATATATATAGCATCTTCTAAAATAATGGTTCTCAACCCTGACTTTATTGGAGTCACCTGGAGAACGTTAAAAAATCCCAATGTCCAGGCCATCCCAGACCCTTTTATTTAGGAGAAGGAACCAGGCATCAGTACTTTTTAATGCTCTTCAGGTAATTAAAGAGTTGAAAATATTGTTCCATGCTAATCAGTTAAAAGACCTACAAACCATACTGATTACAACCTTTGGCATTATCTAATCTAAACTACTTCATTTCAGTGTATTTCCCATCTTCAAGTGCATTGCCTTTTATTGTCTTTTAAGTAATCCTCACACCTGAGGTTGACCTTTTGCTTTAGCCAAAGCTGACGGGGAAAAAAGTTATCTTTAAAAAAGAAACACAGAGTTATGACTTTAGTGATTTATGTAATGACAGAAAGAAGAATTTAGAATCGCATGTGAAAGTGGGAAAAATGGCGACAACGGAAGATTGGTGAGAGAGAAGTCTCAATAACAAAGTACTATCTCTTTTCCATCTTTAAATTAGATGAAGTAAAGGCTATTTTCTAAAGCTCACAATACAAAGACTTGTAGGGTAAATATAGAATGTGCTGTCTTTTGTATAATCAATTGAGATGCTGATTCATCATGAAATGTAAATATTTCAAATCATCTGCTCCCCTGCTGCCTGAAACGGGTTATAGTAGATGGTTAAGAAAAGAATAGAATAAAAGCAGAATTCATAATCTTCAGAAAGAAAATCATTACAGAACCTTAGAAAATACACTCCATCACATGGCACTCAAGTAATTGAGAAAAAAATTGAAAGACCAAAAGAAAATAGAGGATGGCTGTTGTTATTCTCTCTCTCTCTTTTACGTCTTTCTAAATTTTCTACAGTGAACATGTAATTAATTTTACAAAGAAAAACACAGTGATACTTTATAACGAAAGAAGAAATACTTTATCATTTCTATTTCACATAAATGACACAAAAGCAAATAATGTAATAGAAAGTTGTCTTTTTTCATGTACCCAATGCTGCCTTCATTCTCGTTATAGACAAACCTATGAACAGTGTCTGTGGGGCTTAGAACAAAGGAGGACTCAAAACCACAATTGCCCAAATGATTATTCTATATTCTGTTTTTGACATTGTCTTGATTCCTTTTATAATTATTTCAAACACAGCAGTGAAGCCACAGATACAACAGCCACAGAGCTGGGTAAGTGTACTGAAAACTTGGCGGTTTAAAGATTATAGGTTTTCCCATCTAATATTTATTCTGATTAGTCACATTCTTACCAGAGAGCTGAAGAAATCACAGCAGAACTATTTCCATATGGCATTTCCATAAATGACATTTCAAAAAAATGTTTGTCCCTAATTGTGGATTAAGATAATCAGAGAGTGGCTCTCGAATGTAAACTAAATCAAATAATTTTGAGTGCATAAATTGCACTGCTAGTTAGCATAAGTTTACATGATCTGAGCATAAATGAAATAAATCTCAAAGCTATCAGGCAAATAAAAATTTGAATTAACATGGAAATAAAATTCACAGCATGGAATAATAGAGTGAGCCCAGCTTTGAAAAAACTCAGAATTCATTTCCAGTCTCAGCTGTGCTGTGTGATTTGTACAAGTTTCCAACATTGCTTTAATATAATTTTCTTGTCTGTGAAATAGAATTTTAATAACTTTCTTATACAATTGCTGTTAGGATGAAATTAGATATCAATATATGAAATATTTAGTATAGAACTTGGCACACAGTAGGTATCGAGTCAATGGTAACCAATTTACTTCAGTTTCTATTAGGTCTCCATCACCAGCTGCCTTTTTGCTCCATGGGGAGAAAAGAAATTTTATAAGATATATTTTTCTCTAACCAAATATAACATTTAAGACTGATACAGTTTAATAGTCTAGACATTTCACAATTTGCCCTTAAGAACATTTTTTTCAAAGAGGAATTTTTAAATCCGAATAACCTCTTTCCAAAAGTTATTTAATCTCCCTGACTCAATTTTCTTATCTGTAAAATGGGACATGTACCCCTTGATGTCACAGTGATCACGCAAGGCCCTAACTAAATAATGTGAGAGCTTATAAAACTGTAAATAAGTAGCAATTTCAATTTAAAAATTTAAGCTATTCAGTTTAAAATATGTAAATATTGTTGGTATTTATCTTCTTGACCAAATCTTCCTATTCTCTTAGGAGAAAACAGCTTCTTTCTATTTAACTGATGTAAAATATTGATTTCTTTTTTCCCTAAAAATATACTTTTGCTTGAACTGTATTAATTGTGATTTGCTACATACACTATACATTTCATTCTTAGTTTAATAACTGTAGACACTAATTACCAAAAAATGGAGCTATGGTGATTTAACACTGCATTATATATTTAGAACTACACTATTCATCATGAACTTACTAAAAGCTTTTTAATTGCTATAATAATCATAGAAGGAATGCAAATATTGCCTACAAATTTCTAATTAAAATAGTTTAATATTTTAATATCAATCATTAATATTATGGTATCAGTTTAATTAATAGGTTAATGAAGATGACTATGTGATCAAAACAAATTTCTTCACTATAAATATGACTCAATCTACGTAAATAAGATTCTGCATTTTGGAGATAAAATCACTTTATATTTTTGTTTTGAGAATCTTAATTTTGTATAAAATAATTAAAGTTCCTGTCCTTGAACATTACTATTTTCACACAGAAGTTGTATCAGAAAAAAGTGTTTAAAGTCCTAGGGTCCTGGGGAGCTGCTAAGTAGACCATTGCCTTTAAATATATGTAAAGGAGAAGAGACAATAAAAATGTTCTTTTTTTTTTTTTTAGTCCTGATGATGGTGGAAAATAAATATAAGATTGGGGCATAGAAACAGACACAGAGGGGTCACATCCTGCTCTTCCATTCTCATGGTTTCTTTTTGTGCCAAGGGAGGAATATGGAGGCCAAGAGCAAAGACTTCCCTTTCCTGCAGAATTTAAGCTGTACTAGGTGAAGCAAGGGATTGTCTCTATTGGCTGCATAAGGAGCTGATTCAAAACATGTGGGGGCAGCAAAGAGCTACTCTGCGAAGCCCAGGACCAACAGGTGAGTGAGTGATTCATTTTATAAAGTCAAGGGAGGGTATCTGGGCTTTGCTGGGAGATCAGGGATTAGAGGGGACACGATAAGACGTGGTACAGGTAGAGCCAACACAAGTAACATAGTTCAAAAGAGAGCTAAATCTAATCATTTATTCGATAAATATTTTGCCACGTTTATGCAATGCATTGCATTCAGTATTAGAGATATAATTGCACCCTCAGAGATTATAGTCTACAGGGACATAGAAAAACAATTGAAAGGTATTTACAATATAACAT